TTATCGTGATCATATGACAGTTCGACTGATTTAAAAGATTTAAAAGTTTATCTTTTGTCCAGTCGGAGTTATTAACTTTGTAATCGAAAGATGTTGCTTTTAAAAGAAATAAACCATTAGCTAATGTAAATGATATTTTGTTTTTTAAATCAGTTAAATCTGGGCAATCAACATCCATAATATCAAATACATTATCAGTCAATGATAGTGACTGATAATAGCATACTTATCAGTTGAAATTAATGCGCACAATTTACGTTACTTAACATTATTAGTTAAACAAAACAAACTACCAAAAGAAGTATTAAGTATATACTCATTTAATTCTCAATCATGTGAATCTATATTTCGTAATACAAGATCATTAAGTGGTGCTTACTCTACAATTATTAATTTTACAGTTCATGATTTTCTTCGACGAGCTAAAAAATTGTTGATATTAAATCAAATTAAGTGTAGTGAACAATCAAACGATAACGGTCATCTTTTATTTCCAGTACATCACAAACATAAAAAAGACAATGATTTATTAACATTACAAATTGATGATGACGTTGAACAATTAGAATAAACCATATTAGATTCATACAGCAATTAGATTGATTGAAGATTTACATATGTCAACAGCTTTAAAACAAAATGGTATATTTCAGTTAGAACAGTTAAGTAAATATGTATTTCATGACTTAAATTCAACATCGAAATTGACAATTCAATAACAAATAATACCGAGATGATAATACAGTGATGATTCTCATTCTGATCCAGAACGTGAACCTGAATTAGATGATGATAATAATAATAGCAACGAAGATAGTGAAAGTCAATCCGATGATAATGAAAGTATCACTACAGAAAAACAAAGTTTTCTGGTATACATATTAAAGGCATGATTAACACTGAATTAAAAAATTCGCATTTTAAAATAAAAATTAATAACACTGATAAATATTTACATAAACAGTCAGCAATCTGGCGGTTAACAGGCCAAAATTATCGCATATCAACAGATAGATTAACACGCGTAATTGAGACAGGCAGAAAGAATAAAAACAATTCATCTTGTTTTTCTGTGGAAATACATAGTATGTTATACATTCTCAGCTCTTATTTTTCTGTATAAATTAGAATTAGCGCAATCCAAATATTAGACAATCTGAAATTTAAAGTTACACACAGTCTACCAAGGAATTGAACTTCTGTGGGCCCCGTGGATTCCTGGTGTTCAGGAGTCCGCTTTTTTCCCTTGAGAGAATCACAGAAGTTTCCTGTTTTTAAAAGTTACGTTCAGCGATGAGATTTAGAGACATAGCCTCCATCCAAATTTAAATTAGATACACAGTTGGGTTAAACAATAAACGACTAGTCTTACTTATTATGCACAGTGGGATCAAGTGGTGATTCTAGAAGTCTTCCAGCTGTAAACGCTTTTTCTAGAAAAAACATTTTGAAACCATGACATGCTCTGATTTAGAAATATCGAAGTTTACACCCATGCAGATGGAAAAAGTCGTACAACGGCTGCGGCAACTCGCCGAGTGCTCGATCCATCGGAAAATGGCACTTCGGACCCTCGATATAAGCTTTCATGGGGTATCGATTTCAAGCCCTCGGATTTCAGATAGGTAGCGAGCCGTCGAATAGAGATGTTCGAGACTTTCGAGCCATCGCTCTCTCGATGGTGCGATGAGGGCTCGAAAATACCCCTCGAAAGCTTATATCGAGGGTCCGAAGTGCCATTTTTCGAGGGCTCGAGCCCTCGACGAACGCCCATCGAAAGCATATTTCCGAGCATTCGAAGTAACCCTCAAACAACTGGTTGGGCATGGAAAGCCTCTTTCATTCGATAAAACGTTGTTTTGTGAGTGGTTCTTTTCGATCCTCGAAGTGATGCCTGGCTCATTTAACGACCTCAAAGTGTCGATTCGATGTCTATACAACTATGTAATCGTTGTGGAGTGACATTCAGGAACAGATTATGCATTGAACGAGGTGATTGACTGATTATATAGCCCTTAAAACAACAAAAGCGATGCAAATATATTCAAGTAACTTTCAAGTTTTTTTGTATGTTTGATATACCTTCGTATATGTATATCTCATTCCCTTTTATTTGGAAATTCTGATTAGTCTGAAACCGCCACATCTTTAGTATATGAACGCACTCTCATATCATTTTCAAACTTTCTGTTCTTTTTAGAGAAATGACCTATCCACCTTTCAGTAAGCTAAGTTTCGATCGGTTAATCTTCAACACGTGACTTATTTAATGACATAAATCGAGAACGGCGAGAATCGCGCAAACTGTGCTTGGTAGAGATTTCGGGAGTGTGTGGCTTTTGAAGAAAAATCTATCTTCTTACTCATTAGGTGATGTTCCCATATGTTGCAGCTGTTGTTCGAGATATTTTAAGACTCTGAAACCTTAAAAGTAGCCTTTATTGTATGTAGCTTTTTATTTTTTTTAGAAGCTTTTACGTTTATGCCATTATATTCAGTACAGGATTTGCGACATTAGAGTTCCAGCTACAATTCCACTGTCTGAGCAGATAAACAGAAAATGAAAATACTGTAGACAATCACAGGATTTTCCTATTTTTAAAAGTTACGCTCAGCTATGAGATTTAGAGACATAACCTTGAAAATCAACAGCTTCGGTAGTAGATAAACAGACTCATTGATTCTTAGCGGTTTGTCATTTATCATACTACTGTAGGTACGATCACAGTAACTTCGTGCTGCATCAAATTTACTTTTCTTGGTTGTGTAAAATGAGACAAATGTTGTTGAAACTCTCTTCGATGTCGGAATGATCAGGTGGCAAACATTTCTCTCGTATTTCGAGCGCTCGTCGCTCGAAATCAAGTGCGTCATTGTACTTTCCTTGCTTGTGTAAAGTGACACCAATGTTGTTGAGACTCTCACCGATGTCGAGATGATCAGGTGGTAAACATTTTTCTCGTATTTCGAGTGCTCGTCGCTCGAAATCAAGAGCTTCATCATACTTTCCTTGCTTTTCTAGAGTGACACCAATATTATTTAGGTTCCAGGCAATGTCGGGATGATCATGTGGTAGATATTTCTCGACTATTCTGAGTGCTCGTCGCTCGAAATCGAGAGCTTCATCATACTTTCCTTGCTTTACTAGGGTGACAGCAACGTTGTCAAGGCTCCAAGCAATGTCGGGA